CGGGACCGGTTGGGACAACCGGTTACTAATAACCTTGACCGGTTACAAGGAAAATCACCGGGACCGGGACCGGTTATGTCAGGACCGGTTACCGCCGGTTTTTGTCGCGATTAGGCCCGGTAGGGACCGGTTAAGGCCCGGCCCGGGACCGAATTTTGGCCACCTCTAGTCCCGGTCCCAATGAATCTCAAGCCGGGCCGGATAGAGTTTGACCATTTCTATGCGGGAAGGGTACAAAATCCAGAGAAATGGGCCTACCAAAATACCCTGCAAGCCTTTAGCGGTGATTTGGGCCTTGGACAAGTCAGCCCATCGGTCACAATTGAAGAATTCTTTTTATAATAAAATTAAAAATCGTTTAAATATTTGTAATCAAACTTATAGATGAAAAGCGTATATGAAATGTAATGTAATGTAATAAGAGGCTGATTTAAATTCACAAAAAACCAAAAACATTTAGTTTATGAAGGAAGGAAACAAATTTACATTTTTGCCCTCTATTTTCCATAAGAAACATGGGTCAAGACACAAGGATGGGATGCATGCTAATGCTATAAAGACATGAATTAGTATTATTAGGATGTGGAGTAATCTCTCATTTAATGAATTCTCCACAAAAATACTGTTACATTCGATTTTAATATTGATTTTATTTTAAATATTAAAACATTAATTATATTATTAATGTTTTTTTTATATATTATGTATATAAATGTCAATATTACATTTAAACGACATAAATGCTAAAATATTAATTATCCACATTTTAATTGTTGCATTTCTATAAATGTAACATAAAAACGTGGTTTAAACATAAATAACAATACTTAGTAATTGAAGTTTTTATTTGATGACGTCGTTGTATCAACAAAAGTTTCATATGAACAATTACGTCAACAATGTAACTTTTTTACAAGTTTTCATCATGGAAGATTGATTATTTGAGCTTGTCCATGAATTATCATACTTAGTGTAAATATATACGCAGAAATGTATAATTAACACTTGGGGTCGAGTTCGGTGGTCAAGGATGAAGGGTATTCCCATCTCTGGCCCCATCTCTAGTTTAAAAGTTCAAGAATTCCGCGGTCAAACCGGGGTCCGATATCGAGTTCCCCGTCAGGTGCAGGGTTTGTTGCCATCCCTACAAACAAGTCGTTTTATGATTTTGAAATTAAACTAAAACCACTATATTTATTCATATCAAATACATATTACTAGAAAAAGGACTATCATCGATGGATATTACTGTCGGAAAAAATCTGTCGGTAACTTCCGATTGATCACCAATGAATACAAGTAAAAAAAATTCAAAAAAAATAATCCCTCGGTAATTTAGGAGTTTTCAAAAAGTAAAAAATAACATTAAAATATCCACAGGTGATCCGCTGGGAATCACCGACAAAAATTTTCATCGGTAATATTTCATTGGTGAAAGTCATTTTTTTAGCAGTGAAAATAAACATCTATTTCTAAAATTAAAAAAATATATCGAGCAAGTTAAAAAATTAAGTTCCAAAAAATACACCAACAATAGTTGGAATTTTTAACAAATATTAAGTGAGTCAAGGGACATCTTGAGATTTTAGATATTGATTGTTGCATGGATTTTAGAAATTTCCCGATTTCATGAATGCGAAGAATTAAGGAGCGACAACTAAAAACTTAAAGTCCTGGACAGACTTCTTTTAGTTATTGATTTAATTTATGTGTATTTTGGAGGTCTGTTTGGTCCAAATCCCTCAAAAACACGTTCAAATCACAAATCAGACCGGAGCAAACGATTTGGCTATTTCTCAGACTAGATCAGATTGCCAGATCGCTGATCAAATTGCCAAAAATGGTGTGTTTCGATTTGGTTTACCCGGTTTTAGCGGTTCGATAGTTTGATGAACACCTGTAGCGTTAATCACACGTGATTTCATGATTATAGTGTAAAATCACATGTAATTTGACCCTTTTTTTAATCT